GATACCCTGAGCAGATTGAGCAAGACGACATATTTTCATATGAGAATTTTTTTTAAAGATATACCTAAAACTTAATGTCTCAACATGAAATAATCTTAATCTTAAACTCTGGCATGAAAGTCTAAAGGAAATATGCATTATTTCAAGGTATGCTAGGTTTTTACATTTTTTATACCTTTTTAAACAAAGTTCAGCATTAGATTTTGACTTAGTTATTTTTCAGATGGTTTTTATTGATTTTGTTTTTCATGTTCTGTCTGGTTGGTGTTTGCTTAAGGGTGTGCAACAAATCCATTTAGTTGGTTTAATGAATACACTCATGCGCTTTTATTTTGTTGTCATGGTATTAAATCTTGACTCGACTATACACCCGATTTAAAAAAAGAAAAAAACAACAGAAAATCATGTTTATAGTTTTACTGACTCATCTGGAATCCTGTTATAAAAACAGTCTTAATAACATGTATAAACTCCCAAGGTTAAAAAGGATGTGTTAGATTCATTGTGGGGTTTTTTGGTTAATGACAGTTAAAAATTAGATTTTAGTCAAAAATAATAATGTAGACCTGTTAATAAAAGGTACTATCCTATAAAGAATATCTTCATTCCACTCATACGGATGAAACTGCAAAAGATCAAGTCTAAAATCTTCACAATATCATCCTATACCATATCCTCCTTTAGAAGATATCAAATATACATGAGCGGTATATTTTCATCTTCTACAAAACCAATCAATCACTCTGACTGGCCAGTGCTCAGTCTTGCCTCATTTTCCTGTCCACTCTCATGTACTTGGACTGTATATTCAGGCAGAAGTCCAGAGGAATGTTGCACTAGGCCAGACACTGCAACAGTGCATGCAGTCAAGGCCAAGATCAAGACACGACATGTGCTTTGGATTTCAGCAGGGCTGGATTAAGTTGGCTCCATGTAGTACTGGTCACAGACTAGTGGCCAAATTTTATTTTGGAGTTCCACAACCTTACAAGATACCCCTTGCAATAATATGGCTGAAACAGATGGCCCCCTATGATGGTCTAAATGTGGAGCTGCCAATGGGAGAAAATGGTGGAAGGTCAGAGGTGAGGGGAAACACACTAACTGATCCTTCCAAATGTTGTTGGTCGTTTACCAAGCTCGTATTTCAAGTTCACACTTTTGTTTAACTATACAGAACACACAGTTAGAGATGACAGAGCCAACAGAAGAGATTATTCAATAAAAGGTTTAAACCTTCTTCCCATACCGTGAAAGTTAGTATAAAATGCCTACCCATGGCACGTCTGAGAACTGTAGAACCACCTGGAGTTGTGTTCGGTCTCTTCAAAAAGCTAGCAGTCTAATTCCTTACCAAAATAGACAAGATTATTATGACTGTTTTGGGGACTTGCTTGCACATGTTTGAAGATGCTAAACATTGCTTCTAATGTCAGTTTATTTTTATTTATCTTTATGAATCGAGGTCTGTATGACTGTAGTCGTAGCCTCTAATAAAAAACAATAGCGCCACAACCTCATGTCACTTTTGATGCAAATTTTACACCAAAGATACAAAAACAAATACAATTCAATTCAAAAATACTTTATTAATCCCAGAGGGAAATTTGTTGTTGTAACTCGTTATCCTCAAATGCTTGCCATCTATAGATATTTTTTCCACAATATTATGTTTACTATTATAGTCTGAAGACGTGACATGGAAACTCTTATTGGATCAAATCAAATGTAAAAAAAAATAAAAATAAAGTTATGAATGTTGCTTTTATTGGTCATAAAGAATGACTGCCAACAAAAATGGACTTATAAAAAGAAAATACAGGGAAAATGAGGTACAGCTGCTAGCTATGTAATGGTGCAACACCAAAACAGGGCTTTAATTGTGCATTCATGTTAAGTTAGTGTTGGTTTGACCTGCATGATGTCACTGAAACACAGTACTCAATCAAATAGCAAAAATGTCAGCTTTCTAACTGTGCACTACAAAACCTGTTTCAAAATGCACAGCTGTCAGATTTTTAATATAACTTATAGATTATCTACTTGAACAAAATAAACATTTCATAGTTTGATTCATGCTCAGTGTCAGGCAAAACTTTGTATAATGGTTATGTTTTTTCTCTTAATTTATGATTTTTCTAAGTTGTTGTTTTTAGATAAGTTTGTTTTCGGGGGAAATTATGTTACAAAATATCAAATTAATAACAAAGAAAATACTGCATCCTTGCAGCTCTAACAAATATAGTCAACGAAGCTCAACCAAGGGTGGAGCCTACAAATTAACCTTTGGATGGACAACATGTGTACAAAGCAACACTGTTCGAACATGCAACGTTGTTTGTAAGGCTGTATTTGTCAAAAAAAAAAAATAATCTAGACTAAAAAGGAATTTTACCATCATTTAAAAAAATCTAATAGCATTTCTTGAATGAATGCATATCACTCATGACCTTCCATGGCCAAGTTTAAACAAGATCCCGTACGCACTCACACACTCTGAGGGTTCCATGGAGATGACTTTCAGCTTCTATTACACCACATTTCAGCTTAATATCTGTAAAATAATGAAGTTTGATTAAGTTTCTGTTTGCTAAGGTTGATTAGCAGTGGCGGCCATCTTGAATTGAGTTAACCCCAACAGTTATCGGCTGTAGATGTACACCAAATGATTACTCAGAGTTTCATTAAAATCTCTCTACTGAGGTGGCGATTGACAAAAAATTCAAGTAAAGCACAATCAAGATGTCGGACACTGCACCTTGTTGGGAGGGAAATTAAAACAAATGGAACCAAAGCAGACCAACTCTCCAGGTTTACTGCTGATGAAACAAAGAGATTCAAGAAGCTTTTATTGTGACAGAGTCAGGGAAGTGGGGCTGAACCCCTCAGATAGACCGAGCATCATTCGAATCATAGTCTGTGTAACATGTACAGTAAGCAATCAGGTCGATGAGCAGAATTGTGTTTTGTACAGAACCTTTCTGGGAACTCCTGTGATTCGTTTTATTTTATTCTATTTTTTATGTTTCTGTTTTCTCCTCCCCATTTCTTGGAAGGCAGGAAGACTAACAGAGTGGGGCAGGGAAGGGATAACCTTTGTGTCCATTCTGAATTGGAATACAAATGTTACACTTGCAAAGGAGTTTGTGCAAGGGTTTCCTTTTATCCACAGGGAATAGATAGTCAGGGTACATATATTCTGCCTGTGGACACATTGGACAGAGCTGCTTTGACAGAAGGGTTGAAGAGTTTTGGGCTTCAATAGATGCCAGTGGTGGGGAACTAGAACAGAACCTCTAACTCGTTTTCCTTCTTTTTGTATGCATGCAAGCTCTAACAAAGAGAGGCTCTTCAGAAGCAACGCATCTGTTTCCAGGGTCCCCTGTTACAACGCGTGGCTAATTAAAGGATCCAGGGAGGATGACGCAGCCCCCCCACCCCCCAACACAGCAGTATACGGTTTAATTTAATTACAACAGATCAACACAGCTTTAATTGAACTTCACTGTACAAAGTATTTCCTCACACATACTGAGCATGTAATTTATCAAAAAAAAAAAAAAAAAAGGGCAGCGCTCACAGAGTATCATGGGACTGGTGCATTCAGGAAGGCATATGTGCACCTGACGTCATTTTTGGTATAGGATCAGGATGTTTGAGGAGTCTATAGGTGTGTGTTGAAGTTCACTAAGTTCACAACGTGAAAAAGTGCAGTAAGAGAAACTTCTGTCAAAATCTCTTTTATGGTCTTATGGTTGAAGCAGCGGCACCAGAAACATGATGCGGACACCTCAGAATGCTTCCTGAACAGAGACGACACATCAACGCAGAGCTGATATCTGCTCCAACACCCAGTAATGTCAGGGAGAATGCCATGATCTGAAAAGGCCACAGGTCTTGGTGGGAAAGAGCAAGTGCTGTAAAGATACGTTCAAACTCCCAAAACTGGGAAAGGATTAGACAAAGTGAGACTATTGTTTTCCGTCCTGTTTGCTCAAATGTTCTAACTGATGGTGAGAACTTGTGCGAGATTTGCAGCCCTGCAGTGGGATTTCCCTCTGCAACAAACATAGGATGGCACTGGCATTGGCAGGCGGACAGCTGTAAACAATGACACGGAAAGCATGGCCCAGTCCAAGGAGCTCCCACGCATGACGCTCTGTCCACTGTGTGCCAAACGCAGACACAGCTGGAAGACAGCTGCTTGTGCAGAACCGTCATGGGCTTCACTTGATAAGAGACTGAAATATACTTAGAGGAAATATCAGCAAATACAACCCCTTAACTCACACTGCAATTTGGTCTGATTATTAAATATGCGAGTGAAAAACTGGCATAAAGTCTGCATCCAGATGAATTAAGTCACATACGAGTTGTAGAAGAGAGCAGGCGCCTCTTCCAGTGAGCTCACACTTTCACAGAGTTTACAAGTTATATAAATTCTGAGGTAAATAAAGTCTGGTCTGTGTACATCCACAGAGGAGTTGCTTAAGTTTGGTGTTAATTCAACTGGACAAACTCCACAACATCAGCCCAATAAATCCTTCTGTTTTTGGGACACAGGGGAAGTCTTAGCAAATCTGGTTGGCTTGTGTCACCCTCTGGCATTATCTGGTCATCACAGTGGTTCGATCATCAAAAGTCAAAAATGCCAACTCAGGAAAAAACAAACAAACTGTTCACAAAACAATTAAACTGTAATTGAAAGACATTGCACCCCCTGTTGATTTGGAGAAATTAAATCCAATCTCCAAACTCCTTCTGATGATTTAATAAGACCAAGACAAGGGGAAATTGAACAGAAGACCCCCTGTTGAGATGATGTATGGCACATGATCTAATCGCCACTTGTTTAATTAGAAATCTGTTTAAAAGGATGCAATGAGAAGTCGGTTTACAGTCTGTAAGTTTCTGAAACTTTTGAAAGTTGTAACAGGGGATGGAACAACTGAAAAAAAAAAGTTTAGTTTTGTGTTTAGAATAATAAAAACAACACTTACATGAACGCATGGTAGATGAATGCCCATCCTCTCGGCCTCTCCAGCACGTTGTACAGGAAGTTCTGCAACTTTCGGAAGCGCTTGCTGGAGGCGGACGCGTTGGCCCGGGGTCCGGGGGGTCCGGGCAGCGGGGTGCCCAGCAGCCCCGTGCGGTGAGAGGGGTGTCCGCGCTCCGGGGTGGACGGCTCGCTCCTCTCCGTCTGGACGGCGGTGAGAGCCACGAACTCCACCCGCTGGTGGTCGCTCGGAGCCGGGGGCACGAGCATTCTGATGCCGCCGTTGTTGGAAGGACTCCCGAGCATTTTCTGACTTTGGAAACTAGACGCACGACTCGACGCGCCTCTGCGTTATCTCCGACCGAGTCATGCTCTGGTTTATCTCGGATTCAAAGCCGACCACAGCTCGTCATCCCCGGCTCACTTTGCTTTCCGGGAGTTATCTGTGAATCAAGTCACAAACGACGAAACGCGCAATGGTTGAAGTGCGTCGCGCTGAAACGTGACCCCCGGTGACCATTGCTGAAAGAGTCAGGTGGGAACGGTGATGAGCGGAGCGCACCGAGGGGACTGACACATCCAGGAAAACTGCAACGACTTCCAGCCTTTAAACTTAACACACAACAACAAGGCGAGGCTGCGGAACCAAAACGCAACAGAGAGGTGGACGGGTTTGTTACCTAAAGATACTTCGGCGCGTTATTCTGGGCTGTTTCTGCAGTTTGAACCGACTTGAGTCTCCATCAGCAGCTTCCCTGCATGCGCGTCTCTGCGCTCCGGCAGGCTGGAGGGGTGGAGCGCGCAGCAGCAGCAGCTGACAAACATCAGTATGATGTCAAGAACCGCAGGCGACCACGTTTAAAAACACTGAAAGAAGAAGAGGAAGAAGAAAAAAAAAGTCCGAATCAGCGCCAAAAAAAAAAAAAAAAAAGATGTCTGCAGTTGTTTTGGAAACAGAGCAAGAGGCGAGAACTCCCATGGCGGGATGAGGAGCAGGGAGGATGAGGAGGAGAGGGAGGGAGACAACAAGAGGGTTCTTGTTGGTGGAGCTTTCCAAGAAGAAGGAAAAAGTTGGATCCAAACTAATATTTGCTGTGAAATTATCCAGCTTCAAAAGTGCTGGCAAAAGTTTCCCTTGAAATAATCAAAACGCCACTTGTGTTTATTGTGTGTGTGTGTGGGGGGGGTTTGACTCCATGGCTACAGTGGTTTGGGTCGACAGGTGCTGAGGGACACAGCAACACTGACAACCTCCTCTTCAACACACACAGGTTTCTAAATCTATGACTGTGACACACAGAGGCCTGTGGTTATGGCACAGACATGAGGTTATGGATCACCTGCTTCAGGACCTCTGGAGAATGTACTGTGAGGTGGTACCCCCTCCCAGGATGGCCACATCACATACCAACAACAAGCGGAGGTGATCCACACTGAGGCCACTCCGCTTTAGTTTTATTTAGTAGAAGAATATACTAAAAATAAAAGCAAGTTTTACAGTTCAATTCTCACCACTTGTCTCTATAGCAGCTATTTTTAAACTTCTGAAGTAATCTTTTTTTTTAAACTACGGCAAGACAATTTATCATATAATTTATTCAACCTTTATTTATACAGGTTGAATGATAGGTTAAATGATAAATTGTCTTGCCAAATGACAGACAGAATCTTCAAAGTTCAGACACTCAGGCTGCCTTTATTAGAACCACAAGCAACAAGTCCGACTTCTAGTTCTTTCAAAGTTAAATTACATTTTTCCTCGTTTATGTGTATTAACCTTTCAGCTTCAGATATATAGTACCGTTATTTTTTCAGACTATAAGGCGCACTTAAAATTCTTTAACTTTCTCAAAAAAATCAACAATCAGGTGCCTCATGTATTAATTCTGGTTGTGCTTACTGACCTCAAACCAATTTTATGTGGTTATTATGAATGAGTTGAATAAAATTTGACTTATCTGACTGTTTTGTTTCGCTTAATGCGCCTTATAGTTAAAAAAATATGGTAAATGCTTTCAGAGTGACCATTGTGGATAAAGTTTCCCCAGGAGAAACCTTTCTTCAGAAATCCAATTGTTAGAAATCAAAACTTTTATTTCAGATATCCAAAATAAAAAACTGGAAATATCTTTTTTTTTTATTATTATTTCTCTCAGAATCTTTTAATTTTATATAAAAGTCTAATGTTACCAATGCCATTAGGAATATCTCATATTCATAAACGTTAAGTTAAAGAGCACTTATGCCATCAACTAATGGCATTCATTGTAGAAATGCCGCCTAAAGTTTTATGCAAAGATGTTGCACACCAAAGTTCAGCTCAACATCTAAAAGTTATTTAGCTGTGAAAACTTGAAATAGGCTCTCACAAGCAACTAAATTGTTTCCTGTCTTTTTCCACAGGCTATAAAAAGAAAAAGTCGACAAGCAAGCGAAACAAACCAACATAAAAGTTTGTCAGAAGTAAACAAGAAGCACAACAAATGGTGGAAAAATATAACTAGAGAAGCCAGGACACACACATATTCATCCATTATCTTTACCCACTTCTTCCTTTTTGGGTCGCGGGGGTCACTGATGCTCATATCCAGTCATCACTGTGCAAGAGGTGGAGGACGTCCGGGACAGGTCTCCAGTCCATCACAGGGACACAAAGAGACAAACAAGCATTCACTGGCTCACTCACACCTATGACAATTTTTATAAATAGAGCGGGTGATAACAGGTGAGCTGATTAACAAATGAGGGGCAGCTGCGTGATGAGCTGCAGCATGAACACCGACTGACTGAGCCACGACTGAAACTAAATCACATCAAATAAACACGCAAAAACTGCAGGATGCCCAACAGTTACAGCTTTTCAAGGCTTTCGTTATCTTAAGCTTTCTTTTTTATATATAAATTCAACATGTATTTTTCAGAAATGCTTTTATTTTTCAATATTTTTACTTTGAGGAATATTATCATGGATATTTTTTTAAAGAATATTAATGTAGGTTGATTATTTTTACAAAGTCCTGCCATAATTAGGTCTTCTAGCTGAAAAATGTGTTCAGCACGGTGCACATTTTCCTCTGCTCTGTAGCTGCGGCAGGTTAGTCGTGCTCGCTCTGTGTGCTCCTGTCGATTGTTGTGCAGCAGTTTATGGAACACGGAGCTGCTGGAATGAGGTGTGGGAATGCAGCTGGAGTCCTTCACAAGTTACAAATCTAGACATTATTCCCAGGACCTTCTCCCCTTACATAACATAACAGCACTAATCTGCGTGTTGCTTTAGTTAGACTGCTGGAGCCATTGTTGGCTGTAAAATGGAATCAGCTGCTGACAGTTTTACTGTAATGTGTTAATGCAAACAGGTGAGTCGCAATATGTCGACTCACTCAGCTGAGACTGGCACAATTATAAAGTGCTTTTGTTTATAAGCACATTATGAATCAGTTTGTTTCAGTGTCATAAATCAAGTTGTCAAAAGTAAAATAGGAATGAATTACCTTAAAACTGCATTGTGGCTGTCATTCAAACAGTGGTGATTTTATCCTCTTTGTGGGGGTACTTAAGTACCACTAAATTTTAACTCAGCACCCCTGAAAAATAAAGTTATTTTACTTCTATTTGTTTTGAGGTGGTTCTAGGTTTGGGCTTTGGGTTCTGCTTATTGCATTTATGATTCAGTGCAACAAAATAAACTAATTTAAATGTAACAGATCATTGCAATACTTTGTTAATTTACATAATGACTTAAACTGCTGGATGTTCAGCCCCTGAGCTGCTGACTTTCAGTAACTGTGCCCCCTGAGCAGTTTAGTTGAATAGTTCTGATTTAGAGGCTGGAATACAGTTTATTCCATTTTCAAAACCTAAAGTGAGTCTGGAAAAATGTAAAAGATGATAAAGCCCTGCAGCCGACCTCAAGAGCAGCTGAATACAACAGTGATAAGCAGGAAGTACGACATGCTCATCTGTACAAAGGTAACTTAAGCTTAATGGTTAAATTAAAAATTAATGCTTAAAGCTAGTTGTGCTTTGTTTTGTGTGTTTTAAATGTGGATACATGTTGCAACTTCTGGTTGCATAAGTTTAGTCTTTGTTTGTGATGCTCACCTAACATTAAACTGATTTTATACAAAGTGTTTATTAGGTTGTGTAATGTAAAGCAGAGCGCTACGTCTGTAGCATCTTAGCTAACGCATCTGTATTGCACGCCGCTAGCTTAGCGCTACTTGTTGTGCCATTAACTCTAAAATAAGTTATTGAATCAAGTGTTTATTTATGTAGGTAAATGTACAATCTGTTAAAATACACCAGAATGCAGGAAATGGCATCTACTTTATTCTAAATTTTATGGAAGAGGACCCTCAGACCCTCCTACCAGTGTCCCCCCACATTATAAATTCTTCTGACGCCAATGGCCACCACGTTGTTCAAGCCAAGAGCCATTGGGGGCCTCTGCACCCCTAAAGGTCAAATTCTAGAATTGCCCCTGCATTCAAACAAGGCATTAATAGAATATTTGTAGATTTTAATTTGTTATTAAAAATTGTACTTATTCTACTAAATGTTTTTGGAGTAAGTCTTCATATCCAAACTGATGCTAGTTGTACCTCAGTTTAATGTCACCCGCCTCCCAAAGTAAAGGTTTGCTTGTGTGTGTGTGTTTGTCTGTCTTTAGTGTAGTCCTCTTCATCCCTTTTGGGACATAAATTTGTCTGTCTTTACCGTTTCTTTAAACTACTGAACAGATTTTAAAGAAACTCTCATAAATTAACCAACGAGTCGACATTTACGACTTGTAACTTTTGGAGTCAACACGATTCAAGACGGCAACTACAGCGAAGCAGTTTTAGCACATGGTAGTAGCTGAGGGTCATCCCAATTTATAAACTGAGTGCTAACTGGTTGCACAACATCTGTGTTTAAAACTTAGCCAATAATTACTGGAGTCAACCTTGTTAGCAAAATATTTCATGAACCACTGGATAGATTTTAATGAAAATTTCAGAACTGAAATCAACGTTTATGCATCTATGATTAATATTTGAAGTCAACCCACTTCAATATGGCAGCCACAGCTAATCAGCATTAGCTTAAACAAACTGACTCTGTGAAATTTACTAATAAAGAGTAGTAGCTGACAGTCATTCAACACGTACTCTGCGCTAACAGTCCATACAAAATTGATCAAAATAGCTCCAACGTCATCATTTTTTCATCTTTGAAAAATGAAGAAGTTGCTCAAAAATACCGGCATAGAAATTGGCGGGAGATATACATTTTTTGTGCAATACCTTTAATTTATGTATGTATTTACTGTGTGTGTGTTTTTTTTTTTTTTTTGTCTGATTTAGGATTATATGCTCAAGATAAAAATCTGGTTAAACTCATTACTTTTTTTTAACA